CCGTGTTCGAAATCAGGAACTTCGGCACACAGGAGCCGAGGCTTGAGCGCGAACTCGGCAGAGCGGCACCTCCACAGGCAAGGGGGGAGCTCGGGGCAGGGACGTGACAGCTGGGACAAAAAGGGAAACAGAAAAAACTTAATTACCTACATAGAGACGGAGAAGTCGGGAAGCAGAGAAGACGGGGACCGGGACCGGGATCGGGGTCGGGATCGGGACCGGGATCGGGACCGGGAGACGGGGACGGGGACGGGGACGGGGACGGGGACAATAAAAACTAACGTGCCAGCCGTGAATTTTATTCACGGGCCACAGCTAGTACCATAATACTGAGCGAACCATACCGGTCCGATGACGGAAACGGGTGAGGTTCGAGTTACGCCGACGGAGTTGGATGCGGTTTGGATGCGGTTGAGAGAAGATACTATCCGTCCCGAAGGGTCTGACAATTCCCGTTAGGTCTGATAATCGATTTCTTCACATTCTTCCTGGAGGCTTTTGGAAAGTCGTTCACTCACATATGGTTTGTGTACATGTTCTGCACCCTCAATTAAATTGGCTAAGTCATAGGACGGCGACAATATATTCAAAAGTGTTCCTCAAAATCGCCAAAATGGTGTTCTAAAAAGAGTTTCATCATCTCCCATCAACGCGACTTGCCAGTTTGCTCTGCCTCGGAGAGTGCCTTCCCGCCCTCGGACACTTCCTAAAATTTACCAGGCGGTACAGAATTGGTCACAAATGCTATCCCGGGACAGAGTGAAGCAAACAAGTCTCAGGAAAAAATGCCAGAAAAAGATTATCAGACCTAACGGGAATTGTCAGGCCCTTCGGGACGGATAGTAGCTGTTGTCGGGGTTGGCAAGCCCCGTAGATCAGTGATTATCACCGTCCCCGGACTTCGAAACCTATTTCTGGGTCACCTTGAAGGCAGTTACGTACAAATCGGACTCGTACCGCTTCCAGAAACGTTCAAAAACGGCACTTGGCCCACCTCTTGCGTTCCCTCTTTCTTTCCACCCATGTCTAACCCAATTGCCTTCACCTCCATAATATTCTGGGTGCTATCCCTCATCGTACCAAGCAGTATACTGCGCTACGCCGCTCTGAGCCTCGCAATATTGACATTGACTATTTACATGGTCAACTGTCAACTCCCAACGCACAAGCTAGCGCAGGTCGAAGACACAATCCAGGTTACTGACACAACTTTGAAAACTGCCAGAGCGGAATGCGCATGGGATCATGTGGAGTTGATAGAGGATGCAAGGCAATTGCTCGAGTGCGTCTAACAGCGCCGCGGCCATCCTCACCGATACATAACTGAACTGAATATTCCAGAGCCAAAGTATCCGTGTCCGACATTCAGTCTCGATTGTTGAAGACACACGATATTGCGGAGTGGAAGGAATATCTGCATGAAATCAAGGAAATTTTGCAGAGCATCGACAACTGTGCCAAAGAGATGAGGCGAATCCGGACGTCGACACTGGTGAGTGAACATGTTCATGAGTTCATTAGCGCGGATGATTTATGAGTGTTTTAGCTCACCGTCGAAGCCCAACGTCGGCGCCAGTTGGCCGAGGGCATGAATGAGATCGACACTGTTATCTGTTCAGCGAAGCGTGCGTTGGTCACTGGAAATACTTGATTTTATTGTCTGACGTAATCAACGAAGGGTATGCCCAGAGAAGCATTCGTCGCCTTCGACCTGCGTCCACCGCTGCCAATGGATCCCATGACGCGCATATGTAAGATACCATCCTGAGATGTAGATCGATGGCTCACGGGCTTGAGCAGGGTGTAGGGCAACATTGCGCACCATCCCAAGAACGAGTTGCCAATCAAGCTCTGGTGGCACGTACCCCCAGACCTAGTAGCCTAGTAGTGTGGACTACCCTATTTGCTTTTTCTCTTTCTCAGTCATCGTTGTTTCCCGGTTGCCGTTGCCTGCTATTCTCTCGCTATTCTGTTGTCCTTTGTTGTGTGTACTTGTTCTCGATATGAATACCATGAAGATTAGGCATGTCGGGGAACGGGGCGGAGGACCGCCAGCATGAGATTGATGTCGGACCCGTCCCGCCAGAGTAGCGAGCCGCACAAAATTGAGACGTAGTGGCGGAAGTCAAATTGAAAGAGCGAGGTCACGTCACGTCACATGCTTGGTGTTGCTTGGTACGACACCGCCACACGGCAAGCCTCACCGAATTTTTAAGAAAAAATTGGACGGGTTTTCAGCATGGATCCCTTTACCATAAAGAAAGAAGTTCGCTTCTACTCTTGCCAGACAGATCTAGATCGGCACCCATAACCTCCTACTATTTGTTTTGACGTTTCCTATTTCAAGCTCGATGCTCGTCTCGACGTTGACTTCACCGGAATGCGCTGATCATGATGTGAAGATGTAATTTAGCAAGCCATACTTTACTCTTCAGCAGACTGGGAGAAAAGAATGCTTAACTTGCCGGAAACAGCAAGTCTTTGGAGGTTGAACATTTCCCACGTGACTATGGTTGATCGAGGCTCGGCTCGATCGCAGTCTTCGGCTGAACTTTGAGGAAGTTTACGTACTGAGCAATATTAGTAAAGAAGATTTTGTTGATATACATATGGGTATTTTGTTAATATATCGGCGTGATTCATTCTTTGTGGATGACAGTAGATGATGTGGATTTCTAGGCTTCCTGAGCGAGAAAACATTCGAAAACATTCAGCTCTTCGGTTGAAAACAGGGCCATACTTTTACGTTACTTTTATATTTCTCTTGCATTGGCAAACACTATGTATGGTGTCACAGGTTTACTTTTGATGACAAAATCTGTTAGAAACTGGACAGTGTATGAATATTCTACTCTTTATAAAATTACGAGTGTCCGAAGCCTTTACAGCTCTTTGCGAAAGTAATGGCACTCATCAATTTTTGATGAATAAGAGCAAACTTTGATGTGCCGGATTCCGGAGTTCGTTTCTCACTCACAGTTGAATTTAGCGGAATCTAAACGGCATTATGCCCGGCTACTGGATCCTGGTCTCCGCGCTGCTGAACACAAAATATTGAGATCGCCAAAAATGCGGGCAATCTGATATGAACCCGAATGACGATGGCTCGTTCTCAACCGATTTGGAAGGAATTTGTTCAAATCCAGATGATTCTTAGTGCCAGAACGTGTTAAATTCCATGTGATGCTTCATAATGTGTCGGGAGCGTAAGGCAGCCGTGTATTAAATGCTTCACCTAAAAATATGATAAAGCCAACGGTGGCTGGCTGTTTCATGTGAAAGACAAAAGGTAAGACACAGGAGACCTTTGCCTCAACTCTTCGATCCCATCGCAGGCCGAATTCTGCGAATTGAATGACAATTGCCCCCACAGTTGGGAAATAAACCTTGCGTTGAAACCGCGTAAATCGAAAATTGAGTGATATGAGTAACATTTTTTACCTGGTGGGTAGAATACCAACGGATAGGTCTGCTTAGTGCTGCTCCGATGCCGCCAAACTCAGCTGAATCCGTCCAAAATTGAGCGAGAAATGAGGTCGGCAAAGTGCCGGATCAAAGGTTGCTCTTATTCATCAAAAAGTGATGAGTGCCATTACTTTCGCAAAGAGCTGTAAACTCCGCTCGGACATCTCCGTGGGCTGAGGGATTGACTCCAAGTTGACTATGAGGCCAATGATAGGGCTGCCACCCGTGCCCGTCACGGGCACGGCTGTAGATTCAACGGGTCATCGACGGCACAGGCCGTCGATTCTACGGCCGTGGAGGGACAGGAAAAATGTTCAACGGCACGGGACGGTCTACGGGACAGCTGTGACGGGTCGATGGGTGGGGCAGATATATTAGAGTGGTGTTTCTTGTCCGAAACTTCATGGCATGCGGCCATAGGATGAGTTGCCCTACATTGGAACGTGATTAAAACACCCAGGATACCGCAGACCATATTTGATGATATTTGAAGTTGAATTCGAGACTCACAAAAATATAGCCACTGTTTAAGCTACCTAAGAATGGCGTGGGAATGCTTCGAGGATGCTTGAATCTTCCGAAAACCCAGGCATATGCTGGTTCTCTCTTCAACCGTTTTGCCGCTTCCATCAGTTGAGTCCATCAGGTTCGGCAAATGCCGAGTGAACAAATGGTGCGTTCAACTCAAGTTCAACTTGGGTTGAGCGGGATAAACTGGTTCGCCATCTGACCTGGTACATCCTATGAGTATTTGCAGTTAAATATGTATCACTCACTGGGATAGGGTAGGCTATCTGAGCCTGAATGAAACTCACCCGTGACACGGCCGTCATGGCCGTTTTTCACGGCCCATGGATAGTAAGACCCGTACCGTAACCGTGCCGTGGTGGACTCTCAAAAATCCTCGACGGAACGGGCACGGCACCCGTGACACGGGTGCCGTCGAACCGTGGACACAGGTACAGGCGGCAGCCTTAGCCAATGACTCAAGCGAAGTGCCGGGGTGCTCCGCGCCCCGGCACTCTTGTATATCTATAAATCTAAGTAGATTGTCAGTCCAAGCCCTGTCCCGAGAGGATATTGGAAGCCTACCTCAGTACCTTGTAATAGTGCTGAGGAACACTTTGTGCCAACGCGTCCCGTTCATCAACACACGTGCCCGGCCCGATCATTCCGTTGACAGTCGTCTCCGGAATTGGAACGCAGCCTCCGTTGCTCTCAACAAAATCAACATGGATTTAAATGCTCAAGGAATCCTCCACATAATTAAGCGGGTGGAGTAACGCTAAATGACGCAAAGTACCGCTAAATAACGCCTGCCGAATGGAGCCTGAATATTCAACAGAAATTTCACAAGTCCACTTTTGATGCTGACTCAGTGCATTTTTACCATTTTTCTTCATCGATGCTGAGGAACAACTTTCCTCGCTCTGGGTAAAAATACTGTGACTGCTCCAGCAGAAATCTCAAAAAATTCAGGAAAATCCCAGAAAATTTAGGAAGTCAATCCTCAGACCACACTGCTTTACTGAAAGACACTCATGGTGAAGCGGTTATCATGCTTGCCTTCCACGATTACGTAAGCTGTAATGCCGTGCGTAAGACGGTAGCAAGCGGCAGGGGTTCGACTCCCCTTGAGTGTATTTTTCCTTCCGCGGCGCCCCATTCCCCGCCGCTGCAATACCATTTTGGCGACTTTACGCTTGGCCCCTGTTCCTCATGTTGTAGAAGGAGTATCGGGGAAGGTCAAACAGCTTGTTTGTTCGAACCGGTTATAGCAAAATTGAGGAGAAACACAACAAGGCTGAACCAAGATCATTTTGATCTATTCTGGGGAACGGATCGTCTCAGAAAATATCAAATAGATCCCTAAGGAATCGTATGCGATGCAGCTGGAGTTACTCTTCGACACTCCCCTTCAATGTTTGGGCGGTCTGGAGGTAAGATCAAGCAAGAACCCATATACAGAAGTGCGATCAATTTCGATCAATTTCAAATGTGAGCGTGCTCAGGTGCATAACGAGTAAAGTTGCATCGCAGTGTAGCACTTTTTCTATGGTAGTGGCAAATCCTTATGAAACTTGAAACACAGGAAAGAAACATACTTGAGAATGGGAGCAGCTCGGCCGAGCCATGGACCATCGGTGCCTACTGATCGGTTGGTTCACGATACATCGGAATCAGATCGTTTAGCCTCAGTAATCATATCGGGCGTTACGCCAAGGTCACTGAACGGCGGCCCCGGCGTCCAGCACCGGGCTCCGGGTTGCTTACATAAAACACCGATGGTGAAGCGGTCATGTACAGCCCGTCTTGATTTCGGTCGGTACGAGGAAAGGGAAAGGCACTTGCCCAATTGGCGAGAACATGCACTTGAAGTTCGTGTATGGAAATGGTACCCACCGCCATCCCCCGCGACTTTATCGAGTGCCGTAGGGAATTTATTGTCAACCCCCGGCTGTGTTAAACATCGTTTCAGCCTCGCACTCAACGGAAACGATATACACAGAAAATCCATAGAAAATCCATTATACAGAAAGCGTGACTATGAACCGACAAAGTACGGAAAGCACGGCTATATACCGACAAAGATAAGGAAGCACAGATAAATTGCAACTATGAATGAGAGGATTCGGCGGGACTCCTCGGGAACGGCGGGACTAGACACTGTTCAAAAAAAAGTCAGGCTTCGTTCATTTGGGTTCTCAACAGTTCTTGCACCTATAAGAACCTTGGAAATTGCCTGCGCCAGGGTCAGAGCGACGACCCGCAAGGTATGCGCGACCTGAGATTTATTCAACCAATCAAATTATTCACCGATTCGAGGAACGTACGGGTCGGCGAACGAACGACCGTGCTCAACACTTTGCGGGATTCGTTTATTCCCTCAGTCAACTTGCGTTGGTTTTCTTCTTCAATGGTGAGCTACCACGAATGTGAGGACTGTGTTGAACGTGTTGTGTTGAAAGTCAAACAACTCACCAGCATCGCGGTCTGGATTTCCCTTACCTCGGCAACACAATGGCGGATGGCCAGTAGGGTGGCCCAGATACTCTTGAAGTACGTCTTCCAGGTCTCATCGTGTATCTCCAACATGCGAGACTGGATCTGAGACGCGGATAATTTGACCCGGAAATAAACCTATCAGGGTTGTGGACCCTACGACGCGATCCGAAGTACTGCAGGAAATGCCACTCCGCATTGATTATCTCTGCATAGCTGCTTGCCCTGGTCGGCATCGCCTTGGCGCGATGCAGTGTTTCCTCTGTGACCTTGATCAAGGATTCGAGCATGTTGAACTTCCGTGCTGGACCTTGGTGCCGAGTGATGAAGAGGACCAACGACACGGACGCGAGGGCAATGCATGCGTAGCGCCAGATGGTCCCGGGGATGCGGCCCAGGAGGGAGAGTAGGAGGGAAGATTTCAGGTTGGGTAGGGCGTCGCACATTGGGAAGTTGGCCCGGGGTTGGGGAAATGGAAGGAAGGGGGAGGTGTTGACTGTCAACTGAGAGATGAGAGGTGGAGTCGTTTTTAAACTACGGAGAAACCTGTGCATGATGTTTTTTGGTACGGCAGGATTTGCGTTGTTAGAGCACCGTTTCTGTCCTTGTGTCGACACGATCAGCGGCACTACTTTTCCGCCTAGGATTTGGTGAACGTGGCATCAGATTCAAATCAGTCTTGTTCGGTGATTCAAGTCAAGTCTTGTTCGGCGATTCAAGTCAGTCTTCTTCGCCGAACAAGCCGAACTTTTCCGCCGGTCTCGACTGATTTTATCTTATTTGTTGGCCAAAGCGCGGCAGGCTAAGAGCCAGTGCGATACATCGAGCAGGGAGCCAGACTCGCATCGTGCCTTGCGAACCAGCAAGCTGTAAAGATGAACTTGCATGAGCACTGATCTTTTTCGCGCAAGACTAGGGAAAAAAACATGCGATTTAGGCGGGGATAGTTTGGATCCACAGCTAAGTTTCATTCATACCGCTCACCGCTGATGCAGGAAGCAGGTTCAACTCGCTTGAATCTAGCAAGAGAGAACATACGGGAGACAGCTGATCGTCCCAGCCTACGAAGACTTCTTACAACGCATCTTCTACTACTAAATACGCGGCTTCCATTGTAAAATTGAACTGTTATTTTCGCAACCAAATCTACGGGAGAACCCATCAAGTTCTCAGCTTTAAATGACTGTTAGCTACCTCAGCGCTACCTCTGTCTATTCAGTCATAGCAAGCTTCTCCCGGGTGATAATTGGTGACCGCATCTGTAGCGGGGGCAGGTCGTGGCTGCTGCTCGGCAGAAACTCGCAGCGCTCTTCGAGTAAATTACTAGCGCACCAGGCCCATAAAGTGCAGCCGAAAACCAGTAATTCGCCGGCTGTGAGAGAGTGCAAATGTGTCCCAGAGCAAAATTGGGAACGGTGATGGGGCAGGTCGAACAAGCCCCTATCTACTCGCCGAAAGTGGATGTGGCACTTGTGGCTGTGCCCGGCTTCCCTTTGCGTCAACTCTTGTCCTCCTGCCTGTGTCAGTACTCGATGCCCCCAGAACATGCGGCGGCTTCCCCCAGCAAGGTCGCGCTCGACAAGCCGACGTTCTGCGGCACAATCACCGAGGCCCGCTACTCTGCGCGCGAGCGCCGCGAGCGCAAGCCCCAGCCATGGGCCGTGCGCAAGCTCATGGTCGTCTTCACCCTCGGCATCATGGGCTACACCGCGTACGTCTACGCGGGGCGATTCTCCGTGCGGCTTATGCACGCTGGGCGAAGACCCACGGGAAGTGCGTCTCCTTTTCGCGTTACTGGGAGGTGGTTTGGATTACTCATGATTTCTGGTTCGGCGGGTAGTCGGGCTGCTGACGGGGTGGTCGATATTATATGCGTGGATGGTGTGGGCGTATGTTAAGGTGCGTTCCAGTGCGACTCGGAGGAGGATGCGTCCCCTATATTCCGACTGACCAATCGACTACAGGTAATATCCACGCCCCCCGGGAACGCATGCGACGTGCGTCCTCTCAGTTCGCAGTCCTTGAAACCCGCTCACCGTGCACGCCCCCTAGTACGCCGCCAAAACGCCACAGCCGCTCTTCCGGCCCGGGGAATGGCGCGACCAGAACCGCGCTGCATACGACTCGGACGACGACGACTACGAGCACGAGCAGGACGGACGCGCTTTGCAGGACATCGAGGCTGGGCGTATCGGCGCGCAGCCTATCCCGCTTCCCCCCGCGGCGCATGTCCCGGGCACGTCGCTCCCCCTTCCTGGGAACGGACATGCTGCGGATGTGCCGCCCACTAATATGAATGGGACCGCGAATGGGGCTGCGAATACGAATGGGCACCCCCCGCCCCCTGCCCCACGACGCAAGTCCTCGCGTGCAAGCGCAAGAGAGGGACACGGAATCCCACGTGGGCGTTTCCCGCCGACGACGGCGCCACTACTGCCGCCACATCGCTGGTGTTCGCGCTGCTCGATCGTGAAGCCGTACCGGGCGCATCATTGCCGGATTTGCGGAACTGTGAGTACTGGTTCGATTTGGTGTTATGCACGCAGTTTGGGCTGGCTTGCCCGGATTCCTTTCAAGGACTCCTGCGATCGGCAACCTACTGGATCGCGCACGATTACGGCTCCCTCGCGCGCCGTGCGCCTGGATTTATTTCGAGAACCTCTACTTCCCTCATTTTTACCGATCCCCTTCCGATCAGCGATTTCTGACCAGCGCACGAATGCTGACGATTTTTTTTTTTTTTTGCAGTGTATCCTCAAATTCGACCATCATTGTCCTTGTGCGTTTTTTCTTCTTGCTTTCTATTTCCCCCCCGTCGTCGCCCCTAGCCACCGGCGTTTCTTCGATTCCCGCTTCTACTCGGCGTGCTGTTTTGTTCTCCCTTACTCCCCTCCGCTTTGGAAACGAAAGCTAATCTATCTCCTCGTAGGGATCGGCCAATGCGTCGGCGCCCGAAATCACAAGGTGTGTGTTTGACGCTCCTCTTACTCACTCCCCCCGCGCGCCCACTTATCACCTCTTTCCGCCTCCCGCTCCCTGTCCTCCCTCTTCTCCCTGCCCTTCCCCCTTCCCGCTCCGTCCTCCCTTCCGCCTCCTTCCCCTCCCTTCCCGCTCCCTCCTCCCTCCTCCCCCTCCCCCCCTCCCCCCTTCCCCCTCCTTCACACACACACACTTACTAACCCCTCCCTCCCCTGCTAGTTCTTCCTCAACTTCGCGCTCGCCACGCTCGTCTTCACGGCTTACACGTTCGGCTCGCTGCTGGCGTTCAACGTGAACGGGGGCGTGGGCGAGGCGGACGTGGATCCGCAGGAGGTGGTTGTTATTGGGCTGTGAGTTGCGCGCTTTTTTTGTGTTTTTAGAGGTGCGGGGTGGAGGTGGTGGGCGTTGGAGCAGGAAGTGGTTTTCGCACCGCGCCTTCATGCGGATGCACGACTTTGGGCGCACGATCCTGCACGATCCTTCTGCACGGTGGAGGAGGGGCTCGAGATCGAGATCGACACGCCGGACGCGACGGTCTTGCCGAGTGAGGCGGTCAAGGAGGAATTCGAGGACGAGGAGCGCACGGAGAGCGAGCCCGAGGAGGAGGAGCCAGGGTTGTAGGAGGCGCGCGTTTGTGGCGTTTGTGGTGGCAACAGCGCCG